TTGTTCGCCAGCCAGGCTGGCCAATGCTGCGTGAGGGTGTACGCCGTGGAGGACACGAAGGCGGCGATGAAGGCCATCGTCGACAGGGAATCCCAGAGCAGGGGCTACCTCCTGGACAAACCACGGACGCTGTTGTACCAAGATAACGGGGAGTCGTTGTGCGTCAGCCTGGAAGAGGTCGGCAACGAGTGGCAAAGCAAGTCGCCGACGGAGCGACAGGAGATACCGTTCAGGGACGTGTGGAACTGTCTGGAGAACACGAAACACGTGACCTTCGGCCTGGACACCGCGTTCGGGCCGAGCAACAGTCGTAGCTACAAACTGCAGGTGTCGCAGGGCAACTCCGACACCAGGCAGGTGTTCAGGATCGTGTACGACGCCGCGAAACAATTGATCTCGTCCGGAAGCGTGACCAGACCGTTGCGAGAGGTGACCGTGGTCAGCAGCGGGCATGCTAATAACGCGACCACAGACTCCACCACCCTGAGACCGTTTCGGTTTACCAGGTCCCTCAGGAAGCAGCTATGCCAGTGTCTGGATCCGCCGAACGCCCTGGGCAACGACTGGAGAATGCTGGCGCAGAGGCTTCAAGTTGACAGGTTAGCAATCTTACGCGCGTTTTACTTGACCGCTTGTTTACTGGCTACCGAGCGTTTAAACCCCGCGGGATATCGTAGTAGTTCCTTTTAAACGCTGGACGATCGTCGATGGTCTATTAAAGGATTTCCCGCGTATGTTCCGCTACGACGTGGATCTTAATCTTTTCGCTGCGGGGAATGTTAGGAGCTTCTTGACAGCTATCGATTTTCGTTTGCTCGTTTTCCCCGGTAACAGCCGGTTATTTTGTGCCTCGGAACCGGTGATGAGCGGTGATTCTGCTAGAATGTTTTGCGGGAATCGCTCGATCGAAACGGTAGCCCGTTTACGCTTTTATAAATTGAGCCGGATTAAACGGGGAAAAATCGGATACTTCTAGCGGATCGTTCTTGTAGAACGAGTTTCGATATCGCTTCATTTTGCTCCGAAGTTAGGTAGACGCGAAAGTGACAAGGTAGACGCGCCCGTAATGACCCGTTTAAGCCATCGCAGTTTTTTTCCTCGCAATTTATTACATTTTTACCGTATTACGCCACCGCTTCGCTACTATTTATAACATCTCCCGTTCGAACGAGAATCGACCATTTTGCATACGCTCATTATCGTCACGAGAGTCTACTCGCTATTATCTATCGATTTCCACAAACCGTTTCGAGATACGACCAAACCATAGCGAGCACTTACCTTATTTTCTTGTCAGATTGATTGACACTGTCTATACTTCCTATAGCATATATTCTTGTACGAAATAACCGAGAAGGGTCAAACAATACGTTAGAACCTAATTATAGCTCGCTACACCTTGCATTTAATATTTCTTCGGTACTTCGTTTGTGAGCTGCGCAAAATTTAGAAACGGTAGAAACTTTTCATCGGTTAGGATTACAGGAACACACGGTTCGCTTTCGTTTCGCAGGTACATCAACTACTTCGCGACCAAGCCCAGTCCAACGGAACACATTCTGGACCTGTGGGAGGCGAAGCACCACGAGCCGACAGCCGTGACGGATCTGTTGAACCATCTTCGCGTGATGGGCAGAACCGACGCGGCCACCATTTTGGAGGCACAGCTGGGTCCCTGGCTCTGAACGATCGAAATACTCGAAGGCTTCGAACGCGTATCCTTCGGTGAGTGAAAGCTCAAGAACGATCAGTGAATCAGTGGGTGACCGGACGTCCAACGGGTGGAACTTTGTCGAAAGTGAAACTGGAACTGGTTGGCGAACGGGGATAACGCGTGTTCCCCGTACGAATCTCATCGAAACACTGCCTTAATCGTGCGGGACTCTCTCGCGACGCTTTCTTTCTTTTTGTACATAGAACACTTCCGTTTTGTAAGAATCGAACGTTGCTCGAGTGGCACGGTTTAAAGCCGCGGGAATTGGATCTACGTTAATTAATCGTGAACGAAGTAAATTAGAGACTGTGCATTTAGATGGGTATATATGTGTACATACGTGGTAACGAGCTGGCGAGCAAATGGATTATTATCCATTTAGATGGATGTTTATATAAATATAAATATATATATATATACATAATTAGATAGATAGATAGAGCGAGGAACGGAAGTTCCGAGGCGATGTAAGTGGAGGAAAAAACAGAAGGTAAAACGCGTTTTTTATCAATTTGTTATATGAACGCACGAGGCACACGCGAGTGGCCAATGGTTTCCTGGAAGGATGATCGTGCCAAAATTCTCACTCTCGGTTTCTCGACTAGACGAACGACGCTTACGTTGATGTTTCTATTCGGATGTTTGTTGAAACGAGCCCTTGAGGTTTCTTTCGTATATGGACAATACTCCGCGTCCGGCTAGAACAGTGATGGGTTGAGGTGCAAACTTTAGAAGTTTAAAATTTCTCAAATTCTCAAATGTCTGAAACTCCATCTCTACAAATTGTTAAATGTTCAAATTCCTCGCTTTTTAAAGTTCCTAAGTTTCAGAATCTTCAAATCCCCAAATTCCTAAGTTCTCAAGTTCCCAATCTCCCAAATTCAGTAATTGCAAAATTCTCAAACACCCTTTGTAAGTTCTGAAGTTCACAATCTCCCAAATTCTCAAATTTCCGAATCCTCAAACACCGTTTCTAAGTTCGCAATCTCCCAAATTCTCAGATCTCCGAATCCTCAAAGACGCTTTCTAAGTTCTGAAGTTCACAATCTCCCAAATTCTCAAATCTCCAAATCCTCAAATATCCTTTCTAAGTTCTGAAGTTCGCAATCTCCCAAATTCTCAAATCTCCAAATCCTCAAACACCCTTTCTAAGTTCTGAAGTTCACAATCTCCCAAATTCTCAAATCTCCAAATCCTCAAATCCCCTTCCTAAGTTCAGAAATTCCCAAATTCCCAAATCTCCAAATCCTCAAATCCCCTTCCTAAGTTCATAAATTCCCAAATTCCCAAATCTCCAAATCCTCAAGTCCCAAAATTCCCAAGTCCACAAACTTCAATTTTCCTGATGAGCACCATCACTGGTTTAGATCGATACCAACCTACGAAATCGATCGGACACGGCTCGGTCACGCGGGACGAACCCGATTTCGCGACAAATCTACTGATTTTTAAATCGATCCAAGATTTTTATTTGGAAGAATTGTATATTTGTTACTTTCGACGAATAAAATATTCTTGTATACCTCGAGAGAGCGTCCACTCATTACAATGGTTCCTTTCCCTTTCATCTTCGCTTCTTCAGATCGAAAGTTATACTTGAGATTTTAAAAATCTCGATGAATAGGATTAAGGTAAGCCGGGCTTAAACTGGCACGAGTGTGGATTAAGCCGATCTTAAATCAAAATACACACGAAGTAGCCGGGATTGAGCCTAAAAAAACAGGATTATGTCTGAATTGGATCGACAAACATAACCGCAAGGTACGTAAACGAGACTAATCCAGTAATTAATATGCGCGTTATCTAGAGAATGAAAGTTTGCAATAAAGACGTACGATTCTTGACTACTCTGTTGAAATTAAAATAAAACATTAATACGTGGAATATTCTTCGAAATTGAATATCGGATCTGTGCAGGTGATTACAGAGGATTTAACCGATATGTACGAGGCTTTTTCTTCGAACGTCTCATTGAAAATACAAAACGATACAAAATAAAGAAAGTTAAAACTTTCGCTGCAACGAATCGATCGTGAAATGCCGCATTTCTGGCGGGTAATCATCGCGAAGTTTCACGGCGACCATCACGTTCCTCCATTACCGAGTTTCGATTCCGTGATATCGGATAACTGTTCCGGCCGCGCGATGCGTGCACTTAATACGTCTCCGAATTAGTTTGAAACCTTTTAGCTCGATGGTATCGTTCGTGGAACAGCGAACCGACTCGTTGAAAGTCTCGGAAACGAGGAAACACGAACGAGAATTTTTCTGCCGTTTTATCCGGAGAACGTATCGCAATTATACGAAATTTGTCTCGATATTTAACTTCCCGTTCGTCGAACAGATTTTTATAGAATTTCAATTTGAAATTATTACTCGTTATAAAACTTTACGCGTGTTTTATTATTTCCGGAAAAAATTTTGCACGTGGAAGTCGATAAAGGTTATAGAAGTCTTTTCACTGCATAAAATCGGTGTCTTTGCTAGTGGAAGGCTTCCTACACACAATTTTCCGCGTCGTTCGACAAATTCCCGAGTGTCAGCGGTGAAATACTTTTCTAAAGTCTCTATCCCGAGATACATTTGTCAAAAGTTCCGATAAAGACCTCTCAGAAACAAGCAGCCAGTATATAGGTAGAGCTGAGCCCGAAACGAACGACTCGAGAAGCCGGCACTCTTTTATAAAACATTCTCAAATACCTCCGGCAGTCTGTCAAGGCAGCGAGGTTCATTCAAAGGTGCGAAACCCTATATTTCACCGGGGCCACGAGAAAGGAGAATTGCATTTCCGTCTGTAATAGCTTCATAGAACACGATTTGTTACGGCGTAGCGCGAGCCACGCCACATAAATCTAAATAAATACAGTTCCGTGGCGCGAGCGTTCGCCATGGAACACGCGAGGCGCTTCAATCAAAAACCGTGTGTTGGAGAGAAACGCGTTCTTCGTGATCTATCGCTAGGAAAATGTAAAAGATACGGATGGCTTATAGCGAGTGCACTATCGACGTATCATCGATTATGGACGAACCAATAGCTCTCGATGGACCATCTTTTCTGCTGTTCGACCTCGACGGATTTTCTCGATATTTGTGAATTATTCTTTGCACTCTTGGGAAATTTAGGTGGTTTGAATTTTGGGGCTGGAATTTGGGATTTCGGAATTTTGGAAATTAGTAGATTTAGAAATTTTGGGAATTGGGAAATGTTGGGATTTGGAAATTTTGGGAATTGGGGAAAGTTGGAATTTGGGGAATTTGGAATTTGGGGAATTTGGAATTTGGGGAATTTGGAATTTGGGGAATTTGGAATTTGGGGAATTTGGAATTTGGGGAATTTGGAATTTGGGGAATTTGGAATTTGGGGAATTTGGAATTTGGGGAATTTGGAATTTGGGGAATTTGGAATTTGGGGAATTTGGAATTTGGGGAATTTGGAATTTGGGGAATTTGGAATTTGGGGAATTTGGAATTTGGGGAATTTGGAATTTGGGGAATTTGGAATTTGGGGAATTTGGAATTTGGGGAATTTGGAATTTGGGGAATTTGGAATTTGGGGAATTTGGAATTTGGGGAATTTGGAATTTGGGGAATTTGGAATTTGGGGAATTTGGTATTTGGGAAATATGGAATTTGGGAAATTTGGAATTTGGGAAATTTGGAATTTGGGAAATTTGGAATTTGGGGAATTTGGAATTTGGGAAATTTGGAATTTGGGAAATTTGGAATTTTAGAATTTTGGAATTTCGAAACGCTACGAACTTAAAATATAAATATATAAATAACTAATAGACTCGCATCTTTCCAATGTTCCAAAATGGAAGTACATTGTACTCAACATTTGTCCTAAGGCACGAGAGGATTATATTACACCGAAAAGTACAATCACACGTCGCAGCTCTACGTTGAGAAACGTACAACAATGGACGTCGAACGTAGCAATTCCAAAATGTCGATACCAGTCACGCGTACGCTAGCTTACCATGGCTTTTGCACGGCGAGCTGCGAGAGACGCTTCTGCAAGCTTTACTCTGCTTCCGCTTTGTCATTTCACGTCCTATCGATAGTGGATGAAACGTGTCGTTAAGCTTTTAATGGCGCTGTTATTTTCGATGATATGTTTTTGCTGAGACTACCATCTTCAACTCCTCGTGTTGACTCATTTTATCTACTAGAAGTTGTTCGTGAAATTTATTTATTCCTTCTTATAGGAAGTTTTAGGTATTTGAGTAATTTTATTAAATATAATTTTGCTGTTGAATTTTTGATGAAATTTATTTTGATGAAGTTCTGTCAAGTCATAGCTCTATAAATTGAAATCTATATAACAAAATTTAGAAGTGTATAATGAAGCTTAGTTATGAACTGCACTTTTGGGAAATTTAGGTGGTTTAAATTTTGGGGGTGGAATTTCCCAAATTCCAAATTTCCCAAATTCCAAATTTCCCAAATTTCAAGTTTTCCTAATTCCACATTTCCCAAATTCCAAATTTCCCAAATTCCAAATTCCCCAAATTCCAAATTTCCCAAATTCCAAATTTCCCAAATTTCAAGCTTTCCTAATTCCACATTTCCCAAATTCCAAATTCCCCAAATTCTAAGACAGTGATGTACTATACTAACTTCTTAAATTCAAAATTGATACTATTGACCTGTCTTATGAGTAGTTTCACATGTTTCTTGCATTGTGAAAAGAATTGAGTCTGTCTAGATTAATATGTTACATTAACCTTTTGCTACTACAGTGGAAGCTGTAATTAACAATGAACTTGAATTACATGTGTACATTTCAATGATACTTTCATAACATCTACAATATTTTTATAACTGAACAATAGTACAACTGACCAGTCAGATCTCGGTCTCGAAAACGTCCATCACTGACAAACATCCTACAAAACCCGATAACCTCGGTTATCAAACAACTCTACCAAACGTTTATGCGTTGCTCCCGTTGAAAAAGACTAATTTCTCTGCCACGAACCTCATCCGTTTTTTACGACATCCAAACGATTGTATCTCCTCGGGCCCTTTTCGTTCATTAAGAATTCGAACATCGTGACACTCCGGCGATAACCCTTAGCTTATTTTTGAGAGATAATAAAATTCATGAAAATGATCTTGAAACGCCGGAAACAACGTATCTCTCCGGTAACTCAGTCGACTGACCATCAAACAAGCGCTTTGGTCGCACAAAAGGTTAAGCTACTCGGGTTCGGTCGATTCGCAAACGAGCGTCGACTGTAAACTCTTTATTGGCTGAAAATGAAACGGTCAAAGGGAATGAGACCTTTGCCTTCAACGACGTCGAGCAACCAACGAAACGCGTCATAAAGCGCTCTGCCAGCGAGGTATCTGGTCGCGCGCGCGATATTTAATTTAAATTCCACAGAGGACCTACCAAAGAGATAGAAGTTTCTCACTTTGCTGGTCGATGTTCGCGTATATCTGGTGCTCTTGTTTGTCAACGTTGTTGGGATAATTTTGGACGAGATGGGTGGACAAAAATTTGAGACACGAGACTTTGTTTTTTTGTTCATAATTAGGAAGATCAAATTAACCCTTTGTGCTCGAGACTCTCAGTCACCATTTTATTTAATACAATAATTTTAAATAAGCTGATTCTATAACGTGACACGTGTGATGTATAAACATAGTGAAACAATAATGGAAATTATTAGCAAAGAAATAATAACCTCAAGAAAATTCATTCAACTTTTTAATTAAGTTTTGAAGTTGCTGTTTGCAAACAGTCAAATTACCTTCGAGTACAAAGGGTTAAGATAGAGAGACTTAAAGTGCAGATACTTTAGAACACCAAAATTACAAAATACTGAAATAATAAACTTCTACAATTTTATGATACTGAAATTACAAACATTAAAAATGTTAACATGTCAAAGTTTCAATGTTTGAGAACTCATTCTAAAGTCATGAAGTCTTGAAGTACCAGTGTGCAGAGCCTATGAGGAACAATTTTTTAAAACTGAGAAGTAGAGACAAACACACACAAAATACTGATGTCTCAAGATCCCAAATACCCCAAATACCAAAGTACCAACATTGCAAAGTGGCAAGATCCCACATACTTCAAAATACTGAAGTCCTAACCTTGCAAAGTCCCAAGATCCCAAACACCCCAAATATCGAAGTCTCAACATTGCAAAGTCCCAAGATCCCAAATACCCGAAATACAGAATTTCCAAGCTCCCAAAATCCCAAGATCCCAAATACCCTAAATACCAAATTCCCAAGTTCCTAAAATCCCAAGATCCCAAATACTACAAATACCGAATTCCCAAGATCCCAAATACCCCAAATACCGAATTTCCAAGCTCCCAAAATCCCAAGATCCTAAATACCCCAAATACCAAATTCCCAAGTTCCCAAAATCCCAAGATCCCAAATACTACAAATACCGAATTCCCAAGTTCCCAAATACCCCAAATACCGAATTTCCAAGCTTCCAAAATCCCAAGATCCCAAATACCCCAAATACCGAATTTCCAAGCTCC